TAACCCCTACCCCCCCTGCCAGTCCCAGGGACTATTTCTATACAGCTTATCATCCCTTCAGTGTATAGCTTCTGATGCATCTGCTCAGTGGTTTTTTTTTATTTAATTTTATTCATTATTATTATTCTCTAATTTGATCAGAGAGAGACAGAGCACATGAGAACAAGCCTACAGGTCTAGGACTTGGACCATGGTTGGCCATGTGGGAGGCCAGCACCTCAACTGCTACGCCACCTGCTGGCCCCATCTGATCCATGTTTTAAGAATTCTCGTTGGGGCTGGCAGGTGGTGTGGTGGATAAGGGTACTGGGCTTCCACATGGTTGACCATGGTTCGAGTCCTGGACCTGGTGGCTTGCTTTCTGATGTCTCCTCTCTCTTGCTCTTTCACTTTGTCCCTTTCTGGTCAAAATTTTAAATAAATGAATAAATAAAGTTAAATAAAATAATTCTTACAGAAAAACACAAAAACAAGAATTTTCATTTGGGGTCAGCTGGTGGCGTAGTGGTTAAGGCACTGGACTCTCATGTAGCTGACCATAGTTTAAATCCTGGACCTGGCATCTTGAAACTCATGCCAGGCACATGTGTGTGCATGCCCAAAATCCCAAGAGGAGAATGGAGGAAAAATCACCCATGGGGGGGGTGATTTCTCACTTTCTATCTCCCTCTCTCTCCCTGTCTCTCTGGTGGTCTCCCTGTCTCTCTCTCTCTCTTTAGCAAGCAAAAGCACCCTATAGCAAAAATCTCTAAAATAATAATAATAATTCTTGTTATTTTTATGTCTACTTTTCTTGGGGTGTATAGGTCAAAAGTTTAGAGGGACCAGCAGTTAGCGTAATGGCTATGTTGCTGGACTCCCACGTAGTCAACCACGGTTCGAGTCCCGGACCCGGTGGCTTAAACTCATGCCAGGCGCGTGTGCGTGCGTGCCCAAGATCCCGAGAGGAGAATGGAGGAGAAGGGATTGCAGCATGGCCACCCCCCCGGGGGGTGATTTCCTGCTTTCTGTCTCTCTGTCTCTCTCTCTGTCTGTCTGGCGAGCGTACGCGCCCTATGGCAAAAACCTCTCAAAAAAAAAAAAAGTTTAGACTCAGTCAATGACTGGTCAGAAGTTGTGGTTATACCATTCAAACCAGTATGGCTTCTACTAAGGGAGTAGAGGTGTGAGTTTGGACACATATATTATGTTCAGGTCCTTTATAAGCTTGTGCTGGCATTCATTTCTACTTGCATAGTGTCTTGCATTCATCCAAGAATGAGTCAACAGGGCCTCTCCAATAGTCTGTGGTCGTGCGCACACAGCCTTCCACATCACCAAGAATATGGAGATCATATGCCCATTATTGCTGTCTTGTTTTTCTTATCTCTCTGTTAACTTTTTTTTTTCTTTCTACAGGGTGTGTGTGCTTGTCAGAGAGAGAGAGAGAGAGTGAGGGAAAGTGAGAAATCAACCCCTAAGGATGGGCCATGCCACAATCCCTTCTCCTACAGTCTCATGATTTGGGGCACACAAGCACCCAATGTGATTTTCAAGCCACCTGGTCTGGGACTCAAACTGCACAGTTGACCATGTGAGATCCAACTGCCTTAATTTCCATGTCACCTGCTGGCCCCAGTAGTTTCCTTACCAATTAACACTTTTCAAGTAGCTGTATGCTTGTGGTGAATTCCCAGTATTCTAAAATGCTTATTTTGACCTCCTCCACCCCCACTTTAATAGTTGCTTTTGGGGGAGGGTATTTGATGAGTTCTTCACTCCATCATTCCAGAAATTTCTCCCCAACAAGTGATTTTTGACAAAAGACAAGATATGGAGAAAGGATAGTATTGTTTAAATAAATTGTGTGAAAACATTTGGATATCTATATGCAAAATAAAACAAGAAACTTGGGTCCATACTTCATAACATACATAAAAGTCAAAATTAATTTTAGACCTATATGTAAAACCTAAAACTATAAAACTTCTGGAAAAAATACGGGAAAAAATCATTGTGATCTTCAATTAGGCAGAGATTTCCTAGACACAACACCAAAAGCATAACCTATAAAAGAAAAAAATTAAAGGATTGAAAATCATCTAAATAATCTGTTCTGCTCCTCAAAAGATACTGTTAAGAGAATGAAAAGACCATTCAGAGACTGAGGGAAAAATCTTTGTAAAGATAATGAACTCACACCCAGAATATATAATGAACTCTCGATGCTTAACAATAAGAAATCAAATAATACAGTTAATAAGGAACAAAAGATTTGAACAAGCATTTCATCAAAGATCTCAAAAAGGATGACCAATCTCATGAATTATTAGGGTAATGTAAATTAATATAAAAAAATCACACCATATGTACCAGAATAGCTATAATTTAAAAAACCAACAAGAGTTGGTGAGGATGTGGAAAAACTGGAACCTCAGACACTGATGAGGGGAATGTAAAACATTGTAGTCATGTGAGGACCATATGTGGGTCTCAGGTCTCAAGACATCACTGGTCTATCTTGGGGAGATACTATTATAGTTTAGAGGACAAGGAAATAAAAATTAAAACCACATTAAGATATCACTGTACACCAATCATAATGGCCAAGTGAAAACCCAGAAAGTGGTACAGCCATTTTGGAAAATTGGTTTTATAAACCAAAGATGAATATATGAATACACTCTGACCTGGCAGGTCAATACAGGTACTGGTGCTCTTCAATTTACAATGAAATTACATCCTGATAAACCCATTGTAAGTTAAAAACGAATTTAAAACCCCAATAAACCCATTATAAAGTTGAAAAATTTTAAGTTGAACCACTGTAAGTAGGGAATATATAGAAATTTATATCTATGTTCACCGATAGCAGCTCTATTCCTGATAGTCCCCAAGCTGCAAACCACATGTCCACCAACTGTAAAATAGATACATTTATTGCAGCATATTCACACAATGGAATACAACATGATAATGAATTATTTATAAGCAATCATATGGATGAGTATCACATTCATAATGTGAACAATAAAGACAGACACTAAAGATCTTATCATTTAATTAGATGAAATATAATTGCTTGACTCAATTTATATAAAATAGAAAATAGGCAGAATGCATCCATGCTGTTAGAGGCCAGAATAGTTTACCCTTGGAGGGGGAGATTGGAAGAGAGCATCGAGAGGGCTTCTGAAGTGCTGGTCATATTGTTTTTTGATCTGAGTCTGTTCTGTTTGTGGGATGCACTGAGCAGTATTCCTTGCAATATGTGCATTTTCTGTATGCATTATACTTTAATAAAAAGACTTTAAAATAAAATTACATGCTATAATAGAAAGTCCTTTTTCTTCTAAGTATTATTTTAGAAGTTTAAGGGAAAACGAGAGAGTGTCTGTATCGGTGCTTTAAGAAAAAGTAGTGCTTTGGGCCAGCAGGTGGCATGGTGGTTAAGGGGCTGGATTACCACATGGTTGACCATGGTTTGAGTCCCAGACCCAATGACTTACAAATCACAGCAGGTAAATGTGAGTGTGTGTCCAAAAATCCTGAAAGGAGAATAGAGAAAGAATTGTGGTGTGGCCATCCCTCCAGGAAGGGGGAGTGTGATTTCTTACTTTCTCTCTCACTTTCTCTATCCAGCAAACACATACATCCTATGGCAAAAACTTTTTTTTTTTTAAAGGAGTGCTCTTTCTAGAGAAATCTTCCAGTTATTCAACAATATGAGCTACAATATAATTATACTTTTGAATAACCAAGTGCAATGCAAGATGAGAAATGCCAAGTGTTGGCAAAGATGTGGAACACCTAGACTTAATCCCACAGCAACTTACACAAAATGACTTCAATGTGCAAGTAAAAAAATCAAAATATCTTAACCACATTGGAAGAAAAACAAAATTTTATATTGAAACCCAACTATTCCTCTTCAAACAGGAATTCCAAGGAAAGCAGAGGTGTCAGTAGATGAGAATGAAATCCCAGAGTGCTGTGGCGCAATTCCATTGCCTTAGGGTCAGTTACTAAGGGAATAAGGAGTCACTCATCTACAGTTTACATAAATGATAGTTTTGAGAGCATAGATTAGAAGGCATGGATACCTTTTATTGGGTGTTAATCACCTCCTGCCCTAGCAGGGAATTTATAAGGGAATAATGACCACCTATAGAAATCTGTAACATTTAATGACTATATTCCTTTAACAGGCTGGAACTTTGCCAAATTTCCCAATTCATAAAGTCAAACTTTAAGTTTAGAAATTATGTCTTATTTTAGAAAAAGGTACCATGGTGACTTCCCAAAGAGAAGAGAAAGAACAATTCTTCATGGGAAGCTTTTGTCTTAAATGCCAATGATCACAAACACCTTTGGTTTCTACTCATAGATCTGCCTTCTCAGGTTTTTTGCCTTGACTTCAGCGCCCTGCAAGATTTGGACAATGAAAACTTGGGGCTGGTAGGTGGCGTGGTGGTTGGGGGCACTGGACTCCGTCACAGCCAACCACAGTTCAGGTCCTGTATCTGGTGTCTTGTTTTCTCACTTTCCCTCTCTCTCTGACCAAACTGGAAAATAATAACAATAATAATGTTAAATAAAAATAATTCTTTTTAAAAAAAAAGAAAGAAAACTCTTCTCCCCACACTAAGACATTTGGCAAAAAATTTTGCCATTGTATGTCCCAGGATAAGAAGAACTTGTCAGTGCTGAATTAATAATGTCCTTCATCCAAAAAGTGAAACATAACAGATTTCAAGTCATCTCCTTGAGTTTTTATTTCTACCATCTGCAGGAGCTTGAGAGTTCCTGTATCTGTCACGTAACTGTGGAGAGCAGCCATTTTGAACAAACATGTTGACCTTTAGACACATGTAAAAACGCAGTTTTGTGAGCTTTATTTGTATAGCAATAAAAGCATCTGCATGTGAATATGCTTGCTGTTGATCCTGTAAAGCAGTATCTGTCTAAGAAAGCCACATGTATTATTTAGATTTTGTCTCAAAAGATCAGAAGAAACTACACGGCATCAGTTGTTTTCGTATTATCAGCCAAAACCAAGCATGACTGTTTCTCAAATACTTCATCTAAAGGGTCTCCCTCTGCATATAATTGTGTATGAACTGTGGTGATGAGGAATTACATTTACAGGTAACTGAAGATACTTGGCTCAAGCAACAGCCTGTCTTATCTACTTCCCCCTGCACAATGGTTGTAGCATCAGGCATCTTCTTCTCCACTATGAGCTGATAGATACTTAGCTGTGATTTCCATGTGAAACTTTTTCAGTCATTGACTTTATAGCGGTTTTCTCCACCGTGAGTTTTCTGGTGTTTAATGAGGTTCGACTTGTCAGTGAAAGCCTTCTGACATTCTGTACAAGCATAAGGCTTCTTTCCTGTATGAATGATCTGATGCATACTTAGTGTTGCTTTCTGGATGAAAGCTTTCCCACATTTATTGCATTCATAGTGTCTCTCTCCAGTGTGAGATTTCTGATGTATAGTGAGGCGTGATTTCCAGGTGAAAGTTTTTCCACAGTCACTGCATTTATAAGGTTTCTCTTTAGTGTGGATTTTTTGATGTGTTATGAGATTTGACCGGTCAGTGAAAGCCTTTCCACATTCAGTACATATGTTGGGCTTCTCACCTGTGTGAATTTTCTGATGTACATGGAGTTGTGACTTCTTAGTGAAACATTTCCCACAGTCACTGCATTCATAAGGCTTTTCTCCAGTATGAATTCTATGATGAGCAATGAAGTGTGATTTCTGGATGAAGGCCTTCCCACATTCAGGACAGACATAGGGCTTCTCTCCTGTGTGAATTCTCTGATGAACACTTAGTGTTGATTTCTGGATAAAGGCTTTCCCACATTCTTTGCATTCATAGTGTCTCTCTCCAATATGAGATTTCTGATGTATTTTGAGACGTGATTTCCATATGAAGGCTTTCCCACAGCCACTGCATTTATAGGGTTTCTCTCCAGTATGAGTTTTCTGGTGTTTAATGAGATTTGACTGATCAGTGAAAGCCTTCCCACATTCAGCACACATATAGGGTTTCTCTCCAGTATGAGTTTTCTGATGTGTAGTGAGATTGGTCCTATGAGTGAAGACCTTTCCACATTCTGAACAAATGTAGGGCTTCTCTCCTGTGTGAATTCTTTGATGCACGTGGAGTTGTGACTTCTTAGTGAATGACTTCCCACAGTCACTGCATTCATATGGTTTTTCTCCAGTATGAATTCTCTGATGCGTATTGAAGTGTGATTTCTGGATGAAAGCCTTCCCACATTCAGTGCATACATAAGGTTTCTCTCCTGTGTGAATTCTCTGATGCATCCTGAGTGCTGATTTTCTTGTGAAGGCTTTCCCACACTCACTGCATTCATAGTGCTTCTCTCCAGTGTGAGTTTTCTGATGTATGCTGAGGTCTGAATTTTGGGAGAAGCCTTTTCCACATTCATTGCATTCATAAGGTTTTTCTCCTGTATGAATTCTGAGATGTCTAAAGAGATCTGATCTCTGAAAAAAAGCTTTTCCACATTCACTACATTTATAGGGTTTTTGCCCAGTATGAATTTTCTGATGGGTAAGGAGGTTTGACTTAAGGGTAAAGGCCTTCCCACATTGAGTACATAGATAGGGTTTCGCTCCTGTATAAACACCCTGATGTATGTTAGTTTGTGGCTTCTGAGCGAAGGCTTTCTCACGTTTGCTGCATCCATGGCCTTTTTCTCCAGTGTGAATTTTCTGATGCTCAAAGAAATGTGACTTCTGGGTGAAGCCCTTTACACATTTAGTACGTACATAAAGTTTCTCCCCAGTATGAATTTTCTGATGGTGGATGACAGCTTGTTTGTGACTGAGATGTTTTTCACATTGATTATAGTCACAAGAATTCACTCCTGTATTTGTATTCTCATTCTTAGAAGAGGAAGAGCTATGGGAAAACTTGTTACCATTTCCAAAAATCTTATCAAGGTTATTTGTTGCACTGCTTCTATTATGATTATGTAAGTTTAAAGTATGCTTCAAACTCTTTCCAAATGTGTCACAGTTACGGAGTCTTTTAATTGAAGGAACAAGTTTGGTAGTCACATTGAATATTTTTTCAATGTTTTTACATTCATAGCCCCTTTCCTTAATCAGTACTTTCACATGACTTAAAGGGTTATTCTGGTTTTCCTGACATCTCTCTAGCTGGTCATTATTTTGCCACAGTTCTTTTAAAATGGAACACAATGAATCTTCTATGGGTTGATCAAATCTCTCACAGTGGAACAAAACTTCTCCAGAAAGTCCTTGTAATGGAGTTTTCCTAATATCCTCGTCTAAAAAGAAAAAGACAAATTAAAATGGCACAAAACCAGCAGAGAATATAGGGTTCATGTCACTCATATAGAATGAACAAAGAGGAATCGAAGAGTTCTTATGACAATACCAATAATGGAGTAATACAAAATTCCTATAGAACGCTTACTAAATACAAAACAATTATATGCCATTTATGATGCACCAGGCACTGTTCCAAGGGCTTTAGACACAAACACTCATTTAGTCATCATTAAACCCTATGAGATAGCTACCATTATCAATTGTTCTACAGTTGAGAAAACAGAGGCACAGAGAAGTTATGTAAGATCAAATAACTAAACCAGTAGGAGAGATGGGACTTCGGCCTTGGGAATCCAGTTCCACTATGTAAGAAGTCTGGAGAGTGAGCAAAGTAGCTGGAAGAAGAAACTGAAGCTTGTTAAAGGGAAGCCTGGCATGGAAGAATGATTTCAGAATGCATATCTTAATTGTGTATCAGCTGAAAAACCTTACTAACATCTGTTTTCTCTTGCTTTTCCCTCTGAACCATTCTGAAGATTAGCATTCAATGTATATGCTTCAAAAACCAATTCTTTTATTTCTATGGAAAACTGTTGCAACATGGTGACCCTAATTAGACAAACAGTAAATAGGTGTCTGTTCCAGGCTCTATAATCTTCTGCAAGCGGCTCTTGGTCCTAGGAATAAATGCTTTACTTTATTATTATTATTTCTTTTTAGTTTCTGCTATAGGGTAGGTGCACTCACTGGAGACAGAGAAACAGAGAGAGTGGAAAGTGAGACATCATCCCTGGAGGGGATAGTCATGCCACAATCCCTTCTCCTCCATTCTCCTCTCAAGATTTTGGACACACACATACATGTGCTTGGTGCCAAGTCTGGGACTCAAACTGCATAGTCGGCCATGTGGTATCAACTTCCATGCTACCTCTTGGCCCTGGAATATATGTTTTAACGAGTAGTATAAAATAGGAGAAGGAAAGCCATCTGTGGCAGAAACTGTAAGCCCTCCACTAAAACCTATTCTCTTCTTTCATAGTATAGAATATAGTGGGGCCTGACATTCACCAGTCTCACTTTGTTTTCACTGATGGAATATGAGCAGAAGCGATATGTGCTGTTCCTAGGCAGACCTTAAGATGCTGGGCAGTCTCCTTTATTCCCTTTTTCCATTCCCACTGGACTCCACAGTGATCCAACATTAACCAAACAACTGACAACAATGTCTTAGAAGATGGCATAGCAACATGGCCCCTGATCATGAGTTGACTTATTGACCTGGACCATTTCATCTCAGAATTCTTTTTTCAAAGAAGAATTTAATTTTATTTATTATTATTACTTACTTACTTTTTAAATTTGCTATAGGGCACATGCTCTCACCAGAGAGAAAAACAGAGGGGAAGTGAGAAAGCAAACTGCAAGGTCTGGGACTCAAACTGAGGTTGGCCATGTGGGAGTCCAGAGCCCTAACCATCATGCCACCTGTTGACCCCACACCTTATGTAAGAGAATCTACGCACCTATATTTCACTTGTTTTGCCCAAGTGTGTATAAAAATGTACAATCCATGTAGCTCTAATTTCAGTATGCCTCTAGGGAAGTGATACTTGCTATGAATTAAAACGGACCCTGAACTACTCATATTGATACCCAATTTGGCAGTTTCATGTTATGACATAAAGAACCCGTACACACAGGCTGAGATTTTTAACATTCCATGCAGTTCTCTCCCCTTTTCAAATACGATGTATGGTTCTTTGAATATCTCTGAGCTGACACTTGATAGGCTTTCTGAAAGAGAACAAAATATCCTCTTCTGCCTATCTTCCCCAATTTTTAAAAAGAGGCTTTTGCCTAAGGACGTGTCCACTTGTTGGAGACAGACATGGTGGGAGGAAAAGTGAGAAGTCACTCCCCAGGAGGTATGGCCATGCTGCAATCCCCTCACCTCCATTCTCCCAGGATTTTGGGCATGCACACACAAGCGCTCGGTGTGATTTTGAAGCCACAGGGTCGGGGACTCAAACTGCAGCTGGCCACATGGGAATCCAGCTATGTAACCACTACGCCATTTGTGCTGGTCCCATCTCCCCCAAATTTGAGAAATTCAAGTCTCCTAAATCTTCACTTCAGAAAACTGAAGGATAAGTGTGCCAGTTATCAATCTATTGCCTCTCAACTCAAATTCATCCTTCCTTGCCTGTTCTATAGAAATGGATCAGGGTCGCTTCAACGACTTTGTTTTTCCTTTGCCAGATGGCATGATGTCAAGCTTTTTAAAGTGAAGGATGTTGTGGGGGCCAGCAGGTGGCATAGTGGTTGGGGTGCTGAACTCCAACATGGTCAACCTTGATTCAAGTTCCAAACCTGGTGGCTTGAAACTCATGCCGGGCACGTGTGAATGTATGCCCAAAATCCCGAGAAGAGAGTGAAGGAGAAGGGATTGTGGTCTGGCTATCCTCCCAGGCAGTGATTTCTTTCTCTCTCTCTGTCTCTCCAGTGAGTGCACATACCCTATAGCAAAAATCTCCAATCTCCCCCCCCCCCAAAAAAAAAGTGAAGGATGTTGAAAGACAATGTAGGAGGAAGCAGTTTTGTTTCCTGGTTTTAGAGCGCTCCCACAGCAGGCTTCTACAGCAAGGGCAGCTTGTCTAGTACTAGGCTCTGCAGTGCAGGGAGCTTTGCCGACATCTGGCTTCTGAGGCAGACATAGCATCCCTAGTACCCAGGTTTTGCTGTGGTGGAGGCTTCTCTCAAGCTCAGTTCCTGCAGCATGGATGATTCTCTATCATTATGCTCCTGGAGCTCATACAGCTTCCCAAGCACCCAGCTTTTGCAGCACTAGTTGCTTCTCCAGCTCCAGGTTCCTTCCTGCAGTGCATTGCAGTCGGCAGCACCCAGCAATCAATGGTGAGATACCTACCTCCCTTTGAGCTTTATCTGGTACCCTAGAGGGCAGATTTCCAGCAAGACCCACTAGCCTGGCACCACAGCAACTCTGAATCATGCCTTGAGCCACAGCCATGCCTGTCCAACAGGCTTAAGATCGTATCTCTGGAAAGTAAAGGAGCCTCTTCCTTGATTGCTCTAGCACAGCCCTCAAGGCACTGGCTGTACCTTCTATTGATAATCTACAATTGCTTATTCTTCAGTTCTCATTATTCTGATATCACTACAGACCGTAATATTTTTATGTTAAAACTTTCCATATTCTAATTAGTGTGTGGTTTCTCTCCTGATCAGACCCTGACTTACACAATAAGAAAGATGTTTTTAATGCATACATATTTCAGAATACCAGGTTGTACACAATAAATATATAAAACTTTTATTTGTCAATTTAAAAATTAATTAGTTAACTATTATTATTATTTTTAGATTTTTGCTATTGGGTGTGTGAGTTCACTAAAGAGACAGAGACAGAACAGAGGAAAAATGAGAAACCACCCCCACCCCCGCCACCGGGAGATGGCCACACCACAATCCTTTCTCCTCCATTCTCATCTCAAGATTCTGGGCATGCACACACATGTGCCCAGCATGATTTTCAGGCCCCCAGGTCTGGGACTTGAACTGCGGAGTTAGCCATGTTGGATCCAGTGCCTTAACCACTATGCCATCTGCTGACCCCTAATTAGTTAGTTTTTAAAAAGTTTATTTCTTCTGAGAGAGAGAAAGAACAGGCACTCCCAATAGGGTTCTCATGCTATAATCTGCACCCAGCTTCTGCCAGCCCAGATCACAGACATGTATATACATACCTGGCATGTACAGGGAAAACTTGAAACATAAACCAGGGACCTTCCCAGGTGTCCTTATCATTGTGGAGCATGGTGTGGCCACTGCTGGCCTAATTGGTTAACTTTTTTTGTAAAAAAGGATTATTTATTTAACAATTATTTATTCATTCATTTATTTTAATTTGGCCAGAGAGAGAGAGAGAGAGAGTCAAACTGAGAAAGCAAGGCACCAGGTCCAGGACTCGAACCATGGTTGGCCATGTGGGAGTGTCCAGCACCTTAACTACCACGCAAACTGCTGGTACCCTGGTTAACTTTTGAAAAAAAGAAATAGGTTGTTGGGACCAGCAGTTGGCGTAATGGCTATATCACTAGACTCCCATGTAGTTGACTGCAGTTCGAGTCTCAGATGCAATGGCTTAAACTCATGCTGGGCGTGTGTGTGGGCATGCCCAAGATCTTGAGAGGAGAATGGAGAAGGGATTGCGGTGTGGCCATCTCCCCTGGGGGGTGGTTTCTCACATTCTGTGTCTCTGACTCTCTCTGTCTTTCTGGCGAGTGCACACACCCTATAGCAAAAACCTCTCAAAAAAACAAAGGGAACCAGCAGTTAGCGTAATGGTTATGTCGCTGGACTCCCATGTAGTCGACTGCGGTTCGCGTCCTGGACCTGGTGGCTTAGAACTCACGCCGGGTGTGTGTGCGTGCGTGCCCAAGATCCCGAGAGGAGAATGGAGGAGAAGGGATTGCAGCATGACCATCCCCCCTGGGGGGTGATTTCTTGCTTTCTGTCTCTCTGTCTCTCTCTGTCTGTCCGGCGAGAGCACGTGCCCTATAGCGAAAAAAAAAAAATCTCTCAGGAAAAAAAAAAGCTCTTAAATATCTTAAATATGGAGTCTTTCCAAAAAGAGGTAAAAACCTGTTACTTTCATGTTTCCCATCTGCCTGGGTCATACTCACCTGAATAGCTCTGATGTGGGGTTTCCCTCTCCAACATCCATGGCCCTTCTCCTTGCTCCAACTTAAAGATGGCCGCTGTTTTGGGAACTTGGCACCCTGTTAACAGGACATGATGCAGAATTGGGTCCAGCTGGTTGGATTTCAGGGGCCTTTCAATTTGCCCTTCTGAAAAGTAATCACATTTCACTGGGAACAGGGTAATAATCACAGAGGGGAAAATGGACTGAAGAATCTCAGACAAATCAAGGACAATGTTACTGCACACTTCAGGTGTCAAGGAACACTCAGAGCTGAGAAAAGACCTCACTAAGGCCCTGGCAGATACACAGGCAACTGTGCTTACCCACTGAGAGCAGGTGACTGTAGTTTTCCAGTGTTACATTCCAGTACAGGTGTCTCTGAGCAGGGTTCAAGTGCTGCCACTCCTCCCTGCTGAAGTCCACAGTCACATCCTCAAATGATACAGATACCTGTAACAACACAATCCTGTTCAAGGTGACATGGTCAGTACAGAGGGATGGAAGGAAACAGATAAGAAGTTGCTTTTAATGTAGGGTTTTGACTAAATATCTAGTTTTGTATTTTACTTTATGAGAGATAAACACTTATTCAAGTATCATGACATTATCGTATGTATACTGCATTCAGTCATTTATTCATCTAGTCATTCTTTTTTCAAAAATGAGGATTTATGGGACCAGCAGTTAGTGTAATGGCTATGTCGCTGGACTCCCACGTGGTCGACCGCGGTTCGTGTCCCGGACCCGGTGGCTTAAAACTCATGCTGGGCGCGTGTGCATGTGTGCCCAAGATCCCGAGAGGAGAACGGAGGAGAAGGGATTGTGGCGTGGCCATCCCTCCTGGGGGGGGGTGATTTCTCGCTTTCTATCTCTCTGTCTCTCTCTGTCTATCTGGCGAGCACACGCGCCCTATAGCAAAAACCTCTCCAAAAAAAGAAAAATAAATAAAAAATAAAATAAAAATCTATGGTTTTTAAATATTCTATTTTTCTTTTTCTTTTATATTTTCTTCTTTCCTTTTCTCGATTTTTTTTTTCTTTTTATCTTTACTCATTGGCTTTGCAGCTCCTATATGATCTAAACATCTGAATACAATTAGGGTCAGAATATTCCTCTTTTCTCACTGATTCTGATGCACAAAGAGTGATAATGGCACAGAAGAGAGATTGCAGATCACCTCCTCCTGCACGCCTCTGAACACTCAGATTGAACTTCAAGAATTAGAAGAAACACACCATCCATCAGATGACTAGAAATCACTGCAGGGTCACAAGAAATATGGAAAAACCAGAAAATACCTTTCCTCCAAGGAAAAATAATAACTCCTCTTCATCTTCAGACAGTATACTGAAATTCATGGAAATGCCAGATAAAGAATTTGGAATTTTCATGGTGACAAAGCTCACAGAGGTCAAAGAGAAGAGAGACAATGAACTGTCAAAGAGGCAGGGGAAAGGAGCTGATAAGCTTCAGGAGGCGAGGAAATTCTTGCACGATCTAAAAGAA